GTTTTAGCACTGGGTGGTTTTAGGGGTGCAGAATGTGGTGGGATGGGAGCGTTACGAGCCGACTGGAGCATAAACTGGAACGCCGCGTCTGCAGACTTGGGGCTCAGCATTCTTCCTGTGATGCGTTCACTGCCTCCGCGCTGAACTGGGACGCGTGAGCGACTCTGTTTCCAGGACATTACGCAACGACTCAGCCTCCATTTGGACGGTTTCATGTCCCGAACGTTGCTGCGGGGCGTGAGCTGACAGTTATGTAACGGGACTGGTCGGGCTGACCTCTGACCTCTGTCCTCCTGTGATGGAAGTGTTTTTGAACGGTCGCCACACGTCCGCGTTTTTAAAAAGGCCTCGGAGGTTTCCTGAAGCTGAAGTCTGCAGGGACTATTTTCAGCAGTGGATTGATCCACAGTCAGTGCAAGATGACTTCCTGTGACTGAAGTGGACTCAGAAGGGGGAAGCTGAACTTTGACCTCTGACCCGTTAGCTGTGCGTGTTGTCATGGATTCAGCAGTCTGAGCATGCTCTGCCATGTTGGCCGATGTCCAGAGTTTTTTCCTTTTTCCTTTAGAATAACACGAGTGAACTTGAGATCGATTTAGTGTGGCCTTTTAGAGCAGAGTCTGAGAAATGACCTCGGTGGGGAGGTGGGTGTCAGCCATGTTGGAACAACAACATGCAGAAGACACAGCGTGCGTGTTGTTGAGGAAAACGCCTGATTAGTCTGATTCTTGTGTTGCTCTACACGGCGCAGTTCCTGCCCAACGCGCACGCTGCACGCTCCCGTGGATTAGCTTGCTGCCCCATATGTGGAGTAGACGGGATCGAACCAGCGACCTACAGCATCACCAAACAGAGGTCAAAGGTCATTTTTAGTCTGTTGAACCATGCAGGAGTCGCTCAGTCAGGACGATCACACCGCACACTCGGTGTTTGCCTGCAGCTGTCGTGTTTTGAATCTGTGGTTTTATTTTGAAAGGGTAGCATATTTGTTTTGGGCTGGTATAACTTCCTGTTTTAGGGCAGACAGGAAGTCTGACTGCTGGCTCGGAGGAAGCGCAGGTTTGCTGCTTGGTGACGGTCAGCTGTTAGTTTCGTGCTCTTCAGTTTTTATTGTAGCGGCTCACCTGTGCACAGGTGCATCAGCTGCTCTGTGTTTGTCCTTCAGTTTATTGCTGAGCCTCCAAACCTTCAACACTAAAACACACACACACAGACACAGACACACACACAGATCCTGTTTCAGGATGTCCTCTGTAATCCATTCCTGTCTCCTGCTGCTCTCTCGTGTCCTCCATGTTTATCCTCCGGTTCAGGTGCTCACCTGGACTCACCTGGACTCACCTGACAAATATGACACTAACAATAACAACAATAACAACATGATCTGATGACTGTTTGTAAGCAGCAGACACTGTGATGAATAGCGTTTTATTTCCTGTGCTGTCATTGGTGTTTCCTGATGTCATCACTGTTATCCGTGATGACATCATCGTCCTATATGGGACCAGGAGCTGTGATCTGAGGTGTGACTGAAGGAGACGCCGAAGCTTCGTCCTGCTGCCTGTTTGTGTGTCTCGGTTGTTCTTCTTCGTCACGGTTGCTGCATCATCATCATGTGACTTAATTTTGGAAGCTGGCAGTGTGTCCTCGGAGCTCCGGCGCTCTGTGGACAGACTAAATTTAGCCTCGTGTATCTGGACCTCCTTCCGTGCTGTCTGTGTGAGGAATATTCTGGATGCCGGTCAGAGTTTAAGGAGCAGCCGGAGCGTCGCTGACCGTCCCGGGCCTTTGTCACGATGCTTTAAATAGCTCGGCTTGCTGGGGGATTCTGAGGGCCGAGGACGGGTTGGGATACGAGAGCAGCTTCAGTCACACGGAGTGAAGGCGACTCAGAGTAACAGACAGAGTTCTGGGAAATTTCAGCTCCCTGCTGTCATCAGATCGAAGAATTCATTTAATTATGGACTGAATAACTTTGCTGCTGTGGATTCTGAGCTCAGGTGAGCACAGACGCGTCTCACCTGTAACTGGATGACATCACATGTACATGTCACAGGTGACACACGCACCTGTCCAGGCAGACTCCGCCTCCTTCCTGTGCTTGGAGCTGGACTGATGAGCACCTTCAGTGAGAGTTCACCTGTTCCCCTTTAACACACGTGAACGTGGTGAGCGACACTGCACGGTTTCGTGAGGAGGCTCGGTGACAAACTCGTCGAGTCTCCGGCGGCTGCGCGACGGCGGCTGCGCTGTGGGGCTCTGAAGGAGCTGAGAGCTAGTGTTTGTTTTAAGACCACAGAAGAAGAAGGCCGGTGCAGTTGGAGTGAAAGGCACTCAGTGACATCACGATGATGATGATGATGATGCCGGTCGGCTTCACTGAGGTTGTTCTTCAGAAAGCTGCACATCCCTGAAGCTCCAGAAGTGTGGAGCAGGATCAGAAGTGTGTCCTTCACTGTGTCCCCGTGAAACCACCTGATGACCCGATGACCTCACCTGTGCCTCAGCGAATCTCACGCACACATCAGAGGTTCTGGGTGGTTCTGAGGGCGGTCCCAGTAAGCTGCTCAGGCAGCGTGCTCGCTAACCTCTGATGCACGCTCTGTGGTTTTGTTCTGGTCCCTCAGCGAACTGCGCGCCGCTGAGTAATCACCTGACATTTTTTGAGGGTGCAGAAAGCATCCAAGTAAAACTTGAGTGGGCGTGGTTCAGGTGCACATCAGCCCAGCTGATCACCGACGGTCAGGGTTAAAGGTCGGGGTTTTATCCGGGTTAAATGTGTTTACGGTGTGGAGGTGAACTACTGAGCATGCTCGTACGGTTCCCTCGGTCTGCTCTCTGCGCCGTTCGGTATGACTAACGTTAGGTAACGGGCGCCGCGGCCTTGGAGCGGTGGACGGGGGGAAGTTTAATGGTCTGACAGGAAATAAAAAATAAAATGCCAGACTGGGACTGGACGCTTCCTGATTGGACACAGGGTCACATGCTCGTCCTAACAGACCAATAACAATAGTGTTCTCGTCACCGACGCTCACGCAAACACACGACTCTTCCTGGGCTCACGCCCTTTTCCTGAGATCTGATTGGTCAGCAGGTGATGGTTTCTTACCTGTCGATCTCTAATCTCGAAGGTGTGCGGCATTGGTTACCATGGTGATGTACCTGGTAAGAAGTGAAGCACCTTCGTAACACCCAGAGCCTGATGGGAAAATGTGAGCGAGTGACCGCAGCCGCAGGCAGTCATGTGACAGTGATGTCACTGAGGCTGCTGATGCCAGTGAGTGACTGCAGCGTGACGCCCCGGGAGACACAGAGGCGCTGTGATTCAACAAACCCCGCCCCCAGTGGCTAGTACCAGTTACCAGTTAACACACACACACACACACAACCCCGTTCAGCTATCTTAGTGAGGTCCTTCATTGACATAATGGTTTCCTAGCTGCGAACCCTAACCATGAATGAACGCCTGACCCTGAACGTAAACCTAATGGTCACCCTGACACTAAAACCACATTTTGAGCCTCAAAAATGTCTTCAAACGTGTGAGGACCGGGCACACACACACACACACACACACACACACACTTCCTGTTTGCTGTCACCTCTACTTCGGGGGAAACAGCGCTGCTTTCACACCTTCCTGCCTCGCCGCTCGCGCTCACACTGGAAATGAAAGCTCTATTTTTCTCCCTCGCTGCACCGCTCACTTCCTGTGGCAGCCGCTCGCTCTAACGCGCTGCAGCGAGCGAGGCGTGTAACTGACAGCTCGTCAGCCTGGACGCACGGACCGATCCACGATCGCAGTAAGAGCCCGTTTGTGTTTGTTCGTGTGTTAGGCTTCGTCGCGCTCGTGGTCAGTAAAACCTCGCCGTCTTCTTAGCTCGGCACCTCGGCACGGTCCCGCCGGAGCTGCCAGATTGGTCGGTTTGGTGATCGATGCGTCGCTCAGCAGGAAGTGAAGCGTGCAGTCTGTGGAAGCTAGAGACCCGAGCAGAGCTCACACACTCCTCTCACACACTCACGCTCACACACATGCAGTGAGGGTAACCTCTGGGTTCGAACAGAACAGCACACCTGAGCCTCACCTGGGCGGAGTCAGGCATCGACAGCTCAGGCGTTTGGCCCCAACAACACACCTGACATGTGGCTCACATCACCTGAGTCAGGTGTGACAGGTGATCAGCTGATGTTTGGTTTGCACAGGTGCAGATGTCTGTGCGGCGCAGGACGATGCTGGGATAGGAGCACATGGAGGCAGGTGATTGGCTGTACCTGTAGGTCAGGTGACCTCCTGCTCGTGGTTCCACGTTTGTAGTACATAGTTTCATGTATTTTGGTGACCTCGTTACACACCTGTGTTACTTTCCCTCACGCCGTATCATCGCAGCGCTGACCTCTAACCAGCGTCAGGGAGCGTGAGAAAACCAGGCGCTTCTTCAGGTGTGCGAGACAAACCGCCGCTCGCAGCGGAGGAGAGGTTCCGGTTTCAGCTGCGATCGGGATTATTATTAACCGTTTCACTTCCTCTTAGGTGCTTCACTTCCTGCTGCGCTCGAACAGTTTGTTGAAACTGTTTAAAGGGTCAGAGGTCAAACTGCTGCAGAGGGCGGCCCGACACCGACAGCCCCACCGTGTTTGTGCCGTTTGGTGCGTTTTAATGACAACGAATGAAGCTAGGCGAGCCCAGAGAGGCGGAGCTCTGGTTTGATGAGAGGAGTTTGCTCCACCCTTTAGTCCAAACTGCTGGAGACAAAAAGCTCAAATGTAAAAAGCAGGACCTCAGGAGTGACTTAAACCAGCAGGTGATGTCTGTGTTCCGGAGGTCAGAGGTCAGAGTGTGTGGTTGCCCCTCACGCTTGGCAAGGGCGGGGTTTTAAAGGTTTGAGTGTTTGATGCTGGTCTGTGAGGAAATCTAACCCGTCTCTGGGATTTCCTGTGTGTGTGTGTGTGTGTTGTGTGTGTGTGTGT